TAAAATTATTTACAATTCTCAATGTCATTAATATTTTCAACAGCTTAAATTTTTATTTAGTTTATTAAAACTTCTCCAAGGATATTATTATAGTAAAATAAGTGTATTGGTGGTGATCTATATATATATTGTAATTATACTGATATATATTAATGATACTGATATGTAGGGTTTATACAAAAATCGACTTAAAAAATAAAGAAAAGTGTTTTTTAAAAGTTATGTTCTATTGCTTATACAGAGCATTTGACATACAAAATTTACAGAAATAGAAGAGCTCTCACATACAAGAAAGCTGGATTTAATCGTTTTTAGAGTATTAAATAATGAACCAAAGTTAACTTCAGGTTGTTGAGGATATTATGAATTGATTTTTTTAAATCCAAAGATGACAAATATGTTTGAAAATCGAATAAAATTATTTACAATTCTCAATGTTCATTAATATTTTCAACAGCTTACATTTTTATTTAGTTTATTAGAACTTCTCTAGGATATTCTTCGCCGCTTTTTCATCATCGCAGTCATCTTGATAATATTTATCCAAAAACTTAATGAAGTTAGTGAAAGAAATAAGCTGGACGTGTTTGTCTGTGGATTTTGTTAACTAAGTTATAACCTTACTAACTAATTTCAGTTTTCATTTTTTTTTCAATTCACGTAACAGAGACGATTTTGTGTAAACATTTTTATGATTTTAATCAAATAATTAAAATAATTCATTAATTTTTATGTTTTAAGTCTAGGCTCAAATCAGGTTTTTTAGTTTGAAAAACTTGGTTTTCAAATTACATAAATTTCGACAAATCCTATTGATATGTTAACATTTTAAAAAACAGATTCATAAGAATAATGATTAAATCAGAGATTGGAAAACTGGAGGTAACAAAAATGGGTTAAAAAATAATTAAGAAAAAATATAGGAATTCAACATCTCTCCGTCATCATGGGGTAATGCCGGCCTAAATGAATATATTTACTAAATAAAATATTAGGATATTAACAAACGTTTAAGCTATTGGAATAAAAAAAAGTAGATGGAAGGTGGATGGTAGCAAAGAGTTGTTTCATTATATAAAATAAACTTAAGTAGAAAATGTTTTTGGAAGTTTACCCACGCCTGTTGTTCCTAATTATTGCTTGACAGTGGATGAAGGTTGAATCATAATAAATATTAAAGTGAGAGGATTACTATTATTTGCATCGTATTACAACCATCTTGCTACGTAGTATTTAGAGTCATAATATATTAAAGTAAAAGTTGAAGGTATTTGAGTGGGATGGTATGGAACAGAGTTTAGTTGTAACCTAGAATTAGAACAAAAGTGCATCGGTTTTTAAATAGCACTTTTACATGTAATAACTTTTTGATTCCGATCAATGCAACATATTTGTATTACACGTGCAGTGTCCGCGAGGCACGTGCAAATGAACGCCGCAACCCCTTCAAGCTTCTTCCTATTTTAGAACGAAATCCGGATGCTATTATTTATACATCACTCATTGATTGTAATCAAATGCACAACAACCCCCTGACGCCATTAATATAAATTCCATTTACTTGACAAACAACCGCACAATTTTAATTCCGATCACCTTTTTTAATCTTTCAGAGACGGATTCAATAGGTATTGATGAGTGATTCGTGTTTGACAGCTGCATGAGTTAAATTTAATATTGATTGGCGGCTGAAATGTTTTTTTTTAGAACATCGTATTATTACGTAAACGCTGCAGTGGATGTATTTTCCGGTAATGAGCAATACCGAATGTGCGTCTACACTATCCGATGTTTGATTACGTGGATTGGTACAGAACGATCGGATTATCGCGTTAATACGTTTTAACACTGTAACAAATTATCTACATAATAACAACAATACATAATAGCAGATAACTGAAAATTGGATCAATGACTTGGGTCATTGGCCTGATACAAATTTACATGATTATATAATGATCATCAACAGTTCCTAACTTCAATACTGTATATTCAGTTATAAAAATCACGTCAACAATTCTGATAATGTTATACTTAATTTGTTGTTTGATGAACAATTTTATCAAAATAATTTATGAAAACAATAAAAATCTCAGTTTTTATACAATTATAATTCTAAATAGAATTTTCCTATGATATTAATATTTTTGCAATTAAAAAAATGTAAAGTATTTCCACTTGTAAGGAATTTGAAATTCTTGGCAAATTTAATTAGTGGCGTAGCACGGCTTTATTTCATGAATGTTGTACCTATATTTTCTTCAAGTTTATTACGCTTACTTTATAATGCGTTCAATCCGAGATTGAGAGATCATTATCAAACAAACGGATGCTATTATTTTTCCGTCGACCTGGATAACATCTAAACGGATAATTTTAAACAAACCACACGCAATATTTTAGGAAACTTATGTGAATGGCACCAGTCCAGAAGATGTTCTTGCTATTAATATTTTGCAATCCCTGTGACTTTAACAGGGATCTTTCAATAACGTGAAATTGTGTAAGGTCATCGGTTCACATCTCTTCTATTAATAAGCTCTATTTTTATTTGAGATTTCTCATTGTCGATGTGCAAGCCGTTTCATTTGAGACAATAGACTTTTTGAGAACGATGGAAATAGTAAATTGGTAAATAGTATTTCTAAAATTATCGATCTAGCATTGTGGACTTTGATAATGCAACGTTTATTTTTGATGTTTAGTAGTGAAATTATTGATAGTTATGAGTCTCAACTTCGCAGTTGTTAAATATTGTGAATCGAGTTTAATCGAGTCGAATTACAATATAGTTTCTGAATTGAAAATATCTGTAATTAGATACAGTTTATTGACTAATCGAAGAAAAATAAATAGATGGAATATTAAATTTTCATCAATATTGTTTTAACCAGAAGCTTCTGTACTATACTTAGATTGTTCGTATTTGTGGAGAAGTTTAAAGCCTTTCAAAATATCCTTCCTATTTCAATTCGATCTACTATTCGAAAGCTCTCTCCAAAACCGCACTCGTTTTCTTATAAAATATTGATTTAATTTACCAGAGACTGAGCAGCATTTCATATCTTATATATAAGATTATACAGTAAAACCCTTTCAAGTTTATAAGAAGAAACTTTTGTAATATGGAATAAACAAGGCAAATTTTCTTTTCGTATTTTATTATTTTCTTTTGTGGGACTTAAGTAATGTAAGCCAATTTCTCATACTATTTGTATTAATTTATATTCAAAATGATCATAAATATAGTATTAAATATATTTCAAATAAATTCGGTTAACGAATAGTTTGGTCTGCAAACAAATCGGATAACGAACACTTTTAAAAAATATTTTTATGTTTTGACTTAACACGTTTCTTATCCGAATATGTTTCAAAGTATAAATCATTTATTACTTACTATCATTTATAAATTTGGTTTATCTAATGTTTCATAGACACTTGTTATAAATATATATATATAATAATATATTAGAGAATGTTTTGTAAAAATCGGAACTGCCTTGATTACCTGTAACATCGATTGGTTTCCATCGCTGTTTCATTTTCCGACTTGATTGTAGACCAGCATTTTTTTTATTCATTTTCTATATAGCATTTCCAATCATTTCCAGACTACGTGAATGCCATTATTTCTGGTATACCGTTGGGTAATTTCCAATTGAGATCTATCTTCTGAATGGTAGATTCCTACCCTCGAGATTATCCACAATCTTTGATTAATCATAACCCATAAAACCAATACTATGAAATTTCATCTTAATAATTTGAATAAAAAAAAGTTTATTTAAGAACTACAATTTATTTTATTATTTACAAGATATAATGTAGAAAAAAAAAATAATCATAATATTATAAGAACTTATTTTTGATTAAATTACTATTAAATTATACTCCTATAGATGTTACAAGATCCCATGACGTTGTTCATTAGTCAATTGCTTTAATTTGGCATCTCTTCTTTAAAAATTCACGTTATTTGGGTAAAAATTTTCCATTATGAAATTACAAATATATTTTTTTCAAAAGAACTAATTTTTGGTGTTCAAATTTCTACTTAACTTAAAAGCAACGACTGTCAAATATGTTATGTTATTTAGATAATCTAAGATTTTCTTTCAAATGTATACCACAGAGGGAGTAATAATGTTAAGACGATAAAATGTACCGGACGTTCAGACGCATTATAAATGTCTAAGATAATTTTTAGAAACTTTGTAAAACATTTTTATTTGAAATATTTTATTATATGAAAGTCGGTATCACTTAGGAATATATGAAGAATGTAATTCTTAAATAAATTGAATTATTTGATCCAAGGAATATGCTTTATGAGAAATATTATTTGCATTGTAGCGCATAAAATATCTGAATGTTTCATGGACAACCAGCAGATGTAATTGATTCAATCGATATTTTCCTTGTTTTCTTTTAATCATAATTTCCCGCGGGGTGCCTTTTCTATAAAGAATGAGATGCGAGGCTTCGGAAGTAAGTTTCCTTTTTAAACATTAACATAACGGTAGCCGTGAATCCCAATGGTTGTTATTGTTGAATACGTATTGCTGCATAGGTTTTTTTCTCGCTCTCTTTTCTGTATTCTCTTTTTCGTCGTTTCGTCATGGATTTTGTAGAAAATACATTTTTATATATTCCGGAGGCACCGCGGCCTCAGTAATTCCGTCTTTCAAACGGGTTCGGGAGCTGTCTTTGATAAATACGTGCAGCCGATCAAAAAAGAAGGGGTTTTCTAAAAATCTCTTAAGAAAGGAATTTAATTATTTGGAAATTGCTTTTCGGTGGCAACAGGTCGATTTGGAATGGATGAGAAATATATGAGAGTGTAAGCCATTGATGCGGTTATGAAAATTATCGACTTTCTTATTTTCCAGAGGATTATCTATTTTTATTCGCACTTTCGTTCGTTTTCGTTTCGATGTTGAGGTGTTAATTGGTATAAAAAACGTTTGCTTGTTAAGTGATTTGCATTTTGCTTTTAGTTGTGGATTAGTTATTAAATAATGTCGTCGGAGAATTACACGGACTCCGTGGAGATAACCAAGTACACGGAGGTGAAGACCGTGTTCTACCTCTTGTACGGGATGATCTTCTTCTTGGGACTCTTCGGGAATATCCTGGTATGCTACGTAGTGTACTCCAACAAGGCCATGCAGACTGTAACAAACCTATTTATTACCAATCTGGCGTTATCCGATATACTGCTGTGCGTCCTCGGCATCCCATTCACCTCGATCTATACGCTGTACGAGGAGTGGCTCTTCGGGCAGGTCATATGCCATTTAGTTCTGTATGCTCAAGGGACAAGTGTCTACGTGTCGACATTAACACTAACGGCGATCGCAGTGGATAGGTTCTTCGTAATCCTTTACCCCTTGAGGCAGAGAATGAGGTTGAAGACTTGCTTGGGGATATTGCTAGGTATATGGTTATTCTCCATGTCCATCACAATACCTTATGGAATTTGCGTGAACTACTTCACTGAAAACAATGTGAGTTTCTGCGAGGAAAACTGGACTCACAGTTACTCAGCAACAGCTTTCAGCCTGTTCACTTTGACTTTACAATTCGCCATACCGTTCATCGTGATTGCTTACTGCTATTTGAGGATCTCCAGAAGGCTCAACCAAAGGGCAAAATCTAAGCCGGGCTCGAAGAGCGCTCGAAGAGAGGAAGCCGATAAGGAAAAGAAACGCAGAACCAACAGAATGTTGATAGCCATGGTTGCCATATTCGGGATTTGCTGGTTCCCTTTGAACGTGATAAACCTAGTCAATGATTTCAACAAGGTCGAGCAACATTTCCACTTGTTCTTCCTCATTTCCTACTGTATGGCCGTTTCGTCCACTTGTTACAATCCTTTCCTGTACGCCTGGCTGAACGAGAATTTCCGCAAGGAGTTTAAACAAGTACTGCCCTGCGCCATACCTTCCAACCGTTACACAAATAGAGATGAACACACTCTGGACACGCTATTGCATTCGAGTGTTTTCACATCACCGGCCAAACACCTAGAACCAAGGGAACCAATCGCTGAGCGAATCCCACAGACACAAGAATTCAATTTGTAAATTAACACGTCCAGCGGTAAGATCCAATAAACGCTTACACAATTTACTAATTTGTACTAATTGCTTGAGTATACACACCAGATACATCAATAACGCAATTAATACAAATTCCTCCTCATGTAATTCCCATTTCGTTTCAAGTACATTTAGTCTCGTTTTTTTTATTTGTACTCAGGTTTGAAATTTACCAAAAATAATAATAATAATATGTTTAACTGTATCTAAAAAAAGCCCCCGAATAAAAAATAAAAGTGTTAAGACCAATTAACACAATTTACTAACTGTGAATAATTACAACCTTGCTGGAATAAGGCAGAAACGTAAACTTATGGAATTCGATTGCTTTCGGCCCACTCGTCAAAATAAATACCACTTCAAATAACAACTCTAATTTATATTTCTCTCCAATTTGCTGAATAATAATCAGCTTACTCCTATATTTTGTTTATTCATCATTCCCTACATATTTTTAGCCCATTGCTTATTTACAAATATTCATATATTATTATGTATGCTGAGCCACTTCGCAACTCAAACATATCCGAAAATATACAACATTATTTATATTTTTGCTTAAAAAAGAACTATGTATTTGCAGCAATGGTATTCGTTAAATATTTGATCCAATCAATCTAAATTGGCTAAATTATTCTGTAACAGTTTCAAATAATCTGTTATTTCCATTTGTTTTTTAAAAGTATAAACAAGTAATTTCCACTTGAGCAATTATTTGTTCGATGAGTACGATATAATTGCAATTGCAAATATACGCGAGACATAAACAATTGAAGATTGATTTATTTAATAACTGAATGGAAACACAAGGTTACTAAAATAACACTTTTGTATATTTAATAACATTGAACAGTATTTTTATTCTAATAAATTTTCGTGGCTATCAAAGCCAGATAAAACATTATATTTTCCAAAACAGTTTATTAAACACTGTAATAATGTCAGGCTCATATTAAGCTTAAACTAATTATAATTAAGATGTTTCAATTTGCACTTCAAGTAATTCGAATTTCGTTTGAGACAATGTAATGAGTTGTCGACAATCTCAAAGCCGCTTTATTAGAGATTCTTCGGAAAAACGTTAATTATGAAAAAATGAAGAAAAAATAACTATTGATTATTGAAAATGAACATAATAGATTCATTAATATTTTAGATTAAATGAGTTGGTAATATTCAGCGAAGAATAATTTCTATTTGATTATAGACTAAAATTATTAATTATTGCAAATAATTTAAATTCTTCATTAATAAACTTGTTTTAGATTACTAATATCGTGCTTCTGATATCCTAATGAAGATATCAATCTTTATATAAGTGGTAATTATTTTTGACAAATTTCCGGAAAGAGTTGCGAAACTTCCCTGAAAGATAATTTTCTTTTCGTTTCATTGTTATACCCATTGTTTTTTTTTCCTTTCTATTATTTTATCCATCCTTTACGTCCGCTCGGAGAAGCGTAACTTAATGACTTTTTTTCGCACGTCGCAAAAGTTTAGTTTTTGCCTTATTCAATCAAGAGCTTGATGACATTTTAATGACGATTTTCTTTTTTTTTAAAGGTGTCTTTCTAGAAGAAATACATATTGTTTTCTAATTGAAATACAAAGAAAAATATATTAATAATTGTTAAAAAAAAGTAAAAGTGATAAAATATTTAATATCAATGTGAAGTTAAAGTAGAAGTTAAATTAAGAAGTATATTAAAAAGTAAATTAAAATCGGTGTTGCTTAGTGTTTATAGACGGAAGAAGGGAATATGGAAGGTGATGCCAGGTTCAATAATGTGTCGATGGATGAGGACATAATAAACAATAATGTGGTTCAGTCGCTGTTTTTCATGCTGTACACGAATATCTTCGTGCTCGGGATATTCGGTAATGTTTTAGTGTGCTACGTGGTTGCAAGGAATAAGGCCATGCAGACGGTGACGAACCTGTTCATCACTAATCTGGCCCTATCCGACATACTGCTGTGCGTCCTGGCCGTGCCCTTCACGCCTCTATACTCATTCTTAGGTAAATGGGTTTTTGGAAGTGTGATCTGTCATATGGTGTCGTATGCACAGGGTATCAGCGTGTACATCTCTACCCTCACGCTCACGTCTATCGCCATCGACAGATACTTCGTCATCATTTATCCTTTCCACCCGAGGATGAAGCTCTCCACCTGCGTTTTCATCATCATCACTATATGGCTTTTCTCCGTACTGGTCACCTTGCCCTACGGCATTTACATGAAGCATTACGAGGCCAATCTGACAAATCTGAATGTAACCAATCTCGAAGGATACGACTACATCTACTTGTGCGAGGAGAAGTGGCCGAGCGATTACATCCGTCAGATATTCGGAGGTGTCACCTCCCTAATGCAGTTTGTAATACCATTTTTCCTGATCGCATTCTGCTACGTCCGAGTATCCATTAAACTCAACGACAGGGCTAAAAGCAAACCTGGCTCCAAAAGCTCGAAGAAGGAGGAAGCGGATAGGGAGAGGAAACGCCGCACCAATCGCATGTTGATTGCAATGGTCGTGATCTTCTTGGTGTCTTGGCTACCGTTGAACCTCTTCAACGTGGTCTACGACTTTTACGGCCACCTCAACGATTGGTCTTACTACTTCCTCTGCTTCTTCATGGTGCATTCCGTCGCCATGTCGTCTACTTGCTACAACCCGTTCCTCTACGCTTGGTTAAACGAGAACTTTCGCAAGGAGTTCAAACAGGTCTTACCGTGCTTCGATTCGAACCGATCCGCCCCAAACACCGCAAAGCCCGGTGGTAATTACCGGTCCGAAAGGACGTGCAATGGAAACGAAACGCAACAGGAGTCCCTTCTGCCGACAAGCGGCATCCATCGTGCCGCCTCCCTGAAGAAGCCATCTCCTCCGCCGAAACTGGACAGCGTCGAAGTGGAGAACATCATAGTGCCAAACCTTACAGCCGTCTACGATACAGCCGCCGACACCGTCAAGTTGAAGCTCATCATGGAGGAGGATCCGCCACCGTACGACACCGTCAAAGAATAAATCTGAAGGTAATTGGCACATGTTGTTTGCTCTTTTGTTGTTACATCTCCCCCCTCTACCATATCTCGCTCTATATTGCAATTTTATCAGTCACTTAACAAAACATCTGTTGCATATACTCAAAATTATTAATAACAGTAACCTTTTATCGTCGTGTACAAACATTTATTGATGTTAGCATTTTGAACCAAAATCTCTCGTTAATTCCGTACTACGCCTGCCTCGCAACCGCACAGGTTATTCCATAATGCACCACATTTTCTTAAAATTCTCCCCGCCAGAGCAGACTGTCGCGTAATCTAATTAATCTCAAATCAATACCGAATTTCATTCCGTCTACTTTGTCGTCTCTATATTATGGCATAACAAAGTTTTTCAATTTAGACACGTCGATGGAAAGGTCGACTGTCCCTATAGCACGAGCATTATGCAATCCATAGATAGGCAGACAGTTTTCATTCCTTTTAGAAAATAAGAGGATTTAAAGGATTTATCTCTTTCTTTTTCTCCCCTAAAATCAGCTTCCAAAATAAATCATAATTATTTCCCTCTGTTACATAAGCAATACATTATTATCATATCTTTATTTTTTATTCCAATAAATTTGATAGATTTTCATCATATTTATATAAATCTATTTGAATTAAATGAATGTTATCTATTTTATAGTTGGATATAAATTTAATTATATTGTGGTAGTGGGAAATAGGGATTTAGAGGATTATTATCTTATTCATTTTATGTAAAATCATCTATATTTATATATTACATAAGCAATACTTAATTACTGTCCTGATAAAGAAATTAAATAAATATTAATCTCTTTTTACCGTGAAAACAGCTTGGAAAATAAATCATTACTTAACTAATCATTTCTATGTAAACATGATTAAGTGAATTTGGCACTAATCCATAAAATAATACATAAATTTATCCTATTCAATCATAGCTTTACAACTAATCTATATAAATAAATTGTATGTATTTTTTTAGTTTAATAAATTATTCTATGCGATAAAATAAATTTAAGTGTAATGGTAATAACATATTGATTACGGTAGATATAAATTAAATTGAAAAAAAAACAAAATTAGTTTTCATTACTTTCTGATTGCAAATAACGTGAGAAATATTTACGATGATTGCGGGTACTTCAACTAATCTCGCAATCTAGAATTGTGCGATTCCAGATGCAATTATTGTGGGGTCGAAGTTGAGGGGGAGAAAAATTGGATTATTGATTTCGGATTTTATTTCTATTTATAGTCAAATCGAGTCAAATACATTATTCGTTTTATATGTCAAAGTTAAAAATTTACTGTAATTTCAATAATTAAAAATACATTAACATTTATATTATTACAAATACAATCATAATTTTGTTTAGTTTTTTTTAATATTATAATAATGAAAATGATATAATAATATCAGTTTCAACAATAGAAAAATAGTGTTTATATAATACATTTGAATAATTTTGTTTGGTTTCTTTTGAGATTGGTTATTTTACATAACTTGATAAAAATACCTAAAATTTACAGTTTTATACAGATAAATCTAATTAATATTAATACTATTGTCTACTATTATTCAATTACAAATAAAAAAATTAATTATAAAATTAATGATCTAACAATAATTAACTATTACATAGTTACAGTAATTAAAACTTATATTAAAATAACAATAAAGGTTATCTATATCAATTTTATAAACTTATGATAAAATGTATGCTTCTTTGCTGTTTGTTTGCTAGCATAGGAAAAGTTTCAATGAGCACTTTCTTGCAAACCACTGTGGTTGATGAACTGAAAGATTGAAAACAGAAAGTGATAAATTACCAGGGGGACTGAGAGTGGTACAAATAGAAGTAAATAAATCCTTCGCAGTGGAAACGAGTCTTATAAATAAAGGTAAAAAAGTACGGTAGAATAAGTTAACGTATTTTTGTTATATCACTTAAGAACAGTCAAAACAGAGTTTTGCAGTAAATTACTTCATTTTAGAGGTAAAAATACTAAGCTTTTTTCGAACATAGTAAAGTCAAAATTTGATTGTTTGTGCTTATTTCTTTTTTATTTAAAAATTGTCTATGCGAAGTTATAAACACATCTTCCTGAATAAATTCTAAAAATGATCCTTTTTGCAAAAACTTCTTGAATTTCGTTTTTATTTTATTAGTTTTCATTGCTTAAATCATTTACTGAATAACCATCATCTTCGGCATTCAATAAATTTTTAACACCCTTTTCGTCATTATATAAACCTATTGAACGATTATGAGAACTTAATTTCTTGTCTGTTATTTTCTTCTTCTAATAACAACTGAACATATTTTGCATGAAATTGCGAACTTTGTTATATCCAAGCTTCGTTATCAGAAGTAACGTTAACCTAGGAATGAATGTATTATGGTTTTGAAGATTTAATTGATTTTATAAAGGGTGTCCCAAAATTAACGCAAGATTTGAATTAAATAGAAAACACAGTCTTTAGATTGTGATTTTTTTTATTGAATCATAAACTGTGTTTTCTATTTAATTCAAATCTTGCGTTAATTTTGGGACACCCTTTATATATTACAATATGTTTACATTTCAGTAAGTTTTGAACTTGTTATTTTTTAAGGTTTTTTTTTTCTCTGTTATAAAGTATTTTATAGAAGCGATCGAATTCGCAAAAGAAACATTACAATTGAATTTGCCCTGTGCCACTGGGAAAATTGCATTTCAAGGATATTTCGTAACGTGAACATGAGAGCCAAATAACGTTGCTCTTGTAATATGTTGAGTTGACAGTTATTCGATTACTTTAAATATATTTCTCATAAAATAATAAAATATTATTTTTTTCTATTACAGTCAACCCTCCAATAACGCGGTGAGTGCGTACCGCGTTATATGGAAACCGCGCTATAAGAAACTCGGAATTAGTACAAATCACATCATTCGTACCGCGTTATATGGAGACCAATAAATACAAAAGACAAGATAAATTATAAATTATTTTTATTGAATTGAATTGAATTGAAGAGTTCATATAAGGATTGATAAAAAAATGAAACAAGAAGTAAACTAAACTTTTCAGCAAAAACAATAAAGACTTTTGTAAAATTATGTAATCTTTCAATACTCATCCTCGCTGTCAGATATGAGTCGCCTAACTCGTCTTCTTTTAATGGGCAAAATGTCTTCATCACTTAGTTCATCTTCACATTGGTTTTCGATTGTAGCTTTTTTTTCTAATCCACTAAAACCTTATAGGGCATTTCTAACTTTTTTAAACTTCGCGCTGCGCACTGTTGAACGATCAGTTTGACTGAAATGAAGTTCTAATTCTTTATCCAAATTTAGCCCTTTTTTCACATCTTGTAAATCGAGATTTTTCCCTTATTTTCGTTTACCAATGCATTTGAGGTGGATGCATCAATTAATTCCATCAGTTCTTCCTCTTCTACAGTTTCTTCCCCGAGTACTAGTTCTCTTACATCTTGATGGTTTACTGCAAATTCTTCATCGTTTAAACGAGAAGCAATGTTTACTATTTCTGTAACTGGGAGTGAAAATGTAGAATCATCTTGTATTGCTTGAACCATTTGAGGTAAAAGAGGTTTCCAACACGAATTAAGCGTTGATGGTTTAATTTCCGCGCAAGCCGATGACACGGTTCTAATACAATCTAAAATAGAAAATTCCATCCACACTTGAGTTAGGGTTATATTTTCATTATTTTCTAATCTGTCGAAAATGGTTGTCGTCGACGGCTAGAAAACCGATGTCGTAGACGGCTATGAAATAAGCTGGCATGTTTATATAATCTCGGCAGTGCGTTTGCGTCGAAAATAAAACTTATATTAAAATCTCTTATAATAGTTACTAGTTACTACAGTCATTCATAGGCTGCGCGGAAGGAACTTATGGGATGCTGTTGAACGGAAACCGCGCTGTAAGAGTACCGCGTTATAGGAGGGCTGTCGCAATTTCAGCTCCGCGTTATATGGAAACAGCCTTCTGAGAGTACCGCGTTATAGGAGGGTTGACTGTATTATTAACAATTGATATAAATCATTTATATAAATCTTTCATTTATAATTTGGAGATATTTCTTAAGAAATGTATATAAAAAAAATATTTTCAAATCCAAGTTCAAACTGAATATGGTGCTATGAATACTATTTGTATTCTCCAATCGATATTGCAAAGTGCTTTAATTAAATCTGTATGTACTGCATCTACATGGGAACTGGTAAACATATAAGCTTTGTTCATCAATTACATCATGTATATAATAGATTACTTATAATAACAATTGTGTACACTAATTAAAATAAATAACTATTGGGTAGTTGATTAAAGCAATGCTATTGAATATTTAATGATAATTGAAAAGGGTAATTTATTTATTATTATGAGTGAGTTGCGTTGTTAATTTTAAATGTGTCTTGATTGACAGTTGTGTTTGATGGATATGATTATTCAGTGATCGGAATAAATGATAAACCCACGAACGAAATATGCGGCTAATAGAGTGGATGAGGTAAATTTTAAAATCATATATCAAACACGAGTCGAACCATTGACACGAGCAACATCTTCGTCAATTTATCATCGTCCCTTCATGCTTCTTCACTTCTACACATCAATACTTGCTTTTGTGCCAGTTTATTTTTGAAGCAAATAATTATAATATTTCATTAATCATTCAATTTGAATATAAGATCTATAAATAAATTTTGAGATATTTTGTGTTACTAAAAAATAGTAAATAAATAATAATACCTCGCATAATCTGGATACTATTTAATCCGATTTGAAATGTTTTATACAAATTAAATTTTAATTAATTAAAAAATTACAAAAAAAAAATTACTACAGACTAATAAATAAAATACAAATACTACCTATGGGTCAAAATGACCTGTTTATTAAATATTTCAAAAATAGAACAAATTAGTACTTTTTACAAGAAACACAGATTATTTCTTATTATGTAATGAGTTTGGATATTT